GCCAGAAATAGCCAGGGCTGGGCCAGACAGAGCCAGGAGCCAGAGCTGCAGCCTCTTGTCTCTCAGGATGCTACTCTGCGGGAAGCTTGAATCAGGCACTGGGGTGGAGTGGCTGTCCCACCAGCCATCCCCCTACCATTCCTGTTGACCACACTAAGGACAGGAGCTGTGGGTGAGCCTGGAGTGGGCTGCGCTTCCCACACCCATAATTGGGAGCAGAGCAGGGGAGGCTGCTCTCCTGTGCAGGCAGGTCTGGGAGGCACAGACACCGGGAACAAAGGCTGCTCCTGACAAGCAAACGCAGGTGGCTGATGAGGGGAGGGGGCTCTCTGCTGCCTGTTCGGGAGAGAAGTGGGGCGCCTGGCCAGTGCCCTTGACCAGCCCAGTGCACAGTGCTTGAGCCAGTCCCAACCTCCCTCTGCTGTCCTCCCGTCCCAACCTCCCCAGGTGTCATGTGCGCAGGCTCTCCGAGGGACAAGTGCTGTCCCAAGGTTCCTGGTCAGGTGGTATAGAGTTGACAAACTCTGGTTTTCTTACCTTTTTTTTTTTTAAATAAAGATTAATTGATTGATTTACTTGAAAGGCAGAGGGGAGAGAGATCTTCCTTGTGCCAGTTAATTCCCAAATGCTCTCGGCAGCCATAATGAGGAGCCAGGCACCCCACCTGCTCTGTCACACGGGGGTAAGGGTCCAGCTACGTGGACCAACATCTTCTGCCTTAGCAGGAGGTGAATCTGAGGCAGAGGAGCTGGCACTCAAACAGACCGCCAGGATGGCATGTGGGTGTCCCAAGTGCCAGCTTAACTCGCTACTTGCTGCGTGATGCTCATCGCAGGACCTCCCATGTGCCAGGCACTGTGCCAGCCGCCCTGGGATGAGTGACTTTGATCTGGCCCGTGGCCTTCTGCAGCCAGATCGGGTAGGAGCTGGGCAGTGGTTGGGCAGTCAGAGGCCATGAACTGACAGAGTCAGCCAGGAGGGGATTCTCCCAAGGAGTTGCTGGTTTGGCTCCCATCAGCACTGGTACAGTGGGAGCAGGCTGGGGAGCAGACATCTGGCCAGAGCCGGATCTGGGACTACACACAGGGTGTGGCCGAGGAACGCTGCACTCTCTCGCCCACCCTCTTGCTTCTTCTAGTGCAGTCCCCATGTGGGGTGGGCGCCCCTGTGGACAGGTGCCAATGCAGATGTGGGCTGGGGTGTCTGCCCAGGAAGCACCTGCTCTGTTCTGTTGGTGTGGGGCAGACCCTAACCATCCACTTCCCTGCAGTTTCCTGCGTAGATTTGTCCAGGGCATCCCGTCCTGTCACACTGGGCTCTGTGTCACTGCAGAGGCCTGCACCTGTTGATTCCTCAGATCTTGACCTGCAATGGCCATCTGTGGTTGAGTTCTGCTTTGCTTTTGGGCTCATTTTCTTGTCTGGTGAGCGCTCTCTGCTGATGGGGATGCCAGTTGGCCATGCTGGAATCCTGCACTGGAGTTGCTGGTGTTTGCCATGAGAGTCTGGGAAAGTGGATGCATATCAGCCAGCTGCAGGGGAACCCTTCAAGGTTTAGCTTTTCTGCACCTTCCCCTGTAGTCAAAACTGTTGGCTAGCCTGTTCTCACCACCTCAGTAATAGCAGAGGGAATGTTGGGTTTATGTTTTAGTCCAATAGTTCTTGCAGTTTGTTCTTCTATATAAGTGTTACAAGAGCTGGGGCAGGACTGAAACCGGCCACCATCACCTCCATCCTGGTCTCCCATGTGGTTAACAGAGACCCGAGTCCCTGAGCCACTCCCGCTACCTTCCAGGGTCTGCAGTGACAGGGAGCCGGAATCAGGAGGCAGAGCCAGGGATGGAACCTGGGCACTGCTATGTGGCATGTTGGCATCCTGACTACTCCTGGTGACTGGTGCTTAGTTGCAGGCCCCCAGGGCTGCTGTCCACCCAGGTCCTGCCGTGATCCTCCGCAGCCACTTCAGGTGGCCACTTGGCTCTGGGTTTCTGTGTAAGGAAGGTGTGTCAGCTGTAGGTAAAGGTAGTTGGGGATTTGTCTTTTGTTTTCTCCAGGAAATAGAATGATCAGGACAGCTGGTTCCTTTGAGCCACCCACCTGGCCAGGCGTCAGGTTGCTGGTCATCTTATAAAAAAAGGGGCTGTGTGGGGTGGGTGGCACAGCTTCTGGCACACACTGTGTTGCCCTGCTGGGAGCCCTTCCTTCCCCAGGCTGCAGCCACACAGGCATTTGAATGCCCTGACCAGTCTGTGTTCACATTCAGCTCAGCTTGTCAGACCATGTAGGGGCAGAGCAGGCCTCTCTCTGTGTTCTGCCCCCAACTCAGCTCCTCGTCTGTTGGACCCCATATTCAGCGTCCCCTCCTATAACTGCTCAGGCTGAGTTGGGGTGCACTGTGTTCACCCACAGGCACTGTGCTTGCTTGTTATGGAGGCGCCACTGGCTTTGGCTGCATGTGAGCCCTGTGGACACCTATGCGTTCGGCTCGGGTCTCAGCTGCATGGGGTGTGGGGTCCATGTCAGTGCCTGCTCCCCAAGTGATGAGAGTACTGGAAGCACTCCCCCCATCTTCCTTCCCTACCTCCCTCGCTGCATTGTCAAAAAATAAAAATATTTGTTAGAAAGGAGTAGCAGATGTTTGGTGCTTTTTTTTTAATTTTTAATTTTCATTTTCTTTCTATTAGAAAGTCAGATACACAGAGAGGAGGAGACACAGAGTGGAAGATCTTCTCTCTGATGATTCACTCCCCAAGCAGCCACAATGGCCAGAGTTGCGCTGATCCAAAGCCAGGACCCTGAAGCCTCTTCCTGGTCTCCCACCTGGTGCAGGGTCCCAAGGCTTTGGGCTATCCTTGACTGCTTTCCCAGGCCACAAGTAGGGAATTGAATAGAAAGCAGGGCCACCAGCACACGAACCGGGGCCCATATGGGATCCCAGCACATGCAAGGCAAGGACTTTAGCCACTAGGCTACCATGCCAGACCCTGTGCATTTTTTAAAAAGATCTATTTTATGGGCCCAGCACAGTGGTCTAGCGGCTAAATTCCTCGCCTTGAACATGTCAGGATCCCATATGGGTGCTGGTTCTAATCCCAGCAGCCCTGCTTCCCATCCAGCTCCCTGCTTGTGGTCTGGGAAAGCAGTCGAGGTTGGCTCAAAGCCTTGGAACTCTGTACCCATGTGCGAGACCCAGAAGAGCTCTTGGCTTCTGGCTTCGGATTAGTGCAGCTCCGGCCATTGTGGTCATTTGGGGAGTGAATCATCGGACGGAAGATCTTCCTCTCTGTCTCTCCTCCTCTCTCTGTCTCTCTATATATCTATATATCTGGCTTTGCAATAAAAATAAATCTTCTAAAAAGTCTTTTGTTTATTAGAAAAGCAGAATTTAGTGATTAATTGATATTTTTGACAAGCAGAGAATGAAGCACCTTCCTTCAGTGGTCTACTCCCTGAATGAGCACAATGGCCAGGGCTGTGCCGGATCGGAGCCAGGAGCCAGGAGCCTCAGCAGGTTCCCACACGGGTGGCAGGAGCACAAGTCCTGGGCTGTTTCCTGCTCCGTTCCTGGGCGCACTAGCAGAGAGCTGGAGCAGAACTCACACGCACTGACTCTCTCTTATGGGATTTAATTAATTCCAGTGTGGTAGGCCTTGCTTACCCTGCTGTGCCGTGACACCAGCCCTGAGGTGGTCATTGGTATGTTTTGATGTTCTGTTGTAGGGTTTATTCAGAGGCACAGTCATGTGGATCTTAGTGGTGAACAAGTGTTCTGAGCGGTGTGTGTCACACTGCCTGTGTGCGTGTCATGATGCTTACACAGATAGGCCATAGAATTGGAAAGGCAGATTTAGAGAGGAGAAATAGAAAGATCTTCCATCCATGGCTTCACTCCCCAAATGGCTGCAACAGCCAGAGCTGAGCCAATCTGATCCGAAGCCAGAAGCCGGACACTGTGGCGGTAAATAAGCACAGAACTGGCACAGGCGTGGCGTTGCACGGGAGGAAGGAGGTACATGTGTGCTCTGAGGCCCTGGCCCTCTGCGCAGAGCCTGCTGTCGTCTCTCTGTCCCTTGGGCGCTGAGAGGATGTGCAGTGACATTATACCCAGTCACGGCCTCCCTGCCCACATAACCCACATGCTGGGCTCCTGCCGGCCGTGCTCACTGCCTGCTGTCGCTGGGCCGCCGCCTTTGGGGATGTCCACTGTTGTTGCCATGGCGCATCTCTGCCCTCTGCCCTGCTTTGGAGCAGGGCCTTCAGTCAGGTGGGTCCCAAGCCCACTTTGAAATGGACCAGCAGCTGCATCCTGCCCATTTCAGGCCACTTGAGCAAGGGAGCCCCTGACAGCTACCCAGCTGTCTCAGCAGTGCCCAGGAGAGCTGTGCTGCCAGGAACTCCTTTGCCTGCTGTTAGCTTGGTTCGTGGTGCTCCTGACTGCCCTGAGGAAGAACTGCAGGAACCTGTGAGGGGTGCCATGGCCTCACGGAGACTTCCCTGGAGGGCTACAGGCACATGTGTGCATGTGTGCGAGCATCGCTGTGTGGCTGCTCGAGGAGTTGGCAGCAGCCCAGGGGGCAGTGCCCAGAGCATCTGGAGGAAGGAGGAAGTGGCAGCCGGAGGGGTCCCCTGAAGAGGCAGGAACAGCAGATGCCCCGGGGCATGAGAAGGGCAGTGAGCCAAAACCGGTCACAGAAACCCTGGCTTCGTCAGGAAGTTGGCAGATTTCTCTTCAGGTTTGATTATGGAAAGCAAACACCTGAGAGTGGTAGCCTCACACAGCGTCCCTCGCTCTAGAGGTTATAAGCCGTGGTTGGCCCTGCTCACTTCACAACCCAACACGGTGCTATTCCCAGCCAGGCTGCATAGAAATCCCACATAGAGCCCACAGCTGGGAATGGGTCACTCAGGCGGATTTGGGGGCCTGGGATGATCAGATGCACATCTCAGTTCTACTTTTCCAGGGTCCCCTGAGTCCACACTTTGTTTTATTTTGCTTTTCAGTGGGAAGTTGGTGTCTCCAAAGTGGAAGAATTTCAAGGGTCTGAAGCTGCAGTGGAGAGACAAGATCCGGCTCAACAACGCCATCTGGCGGGCGTGGTACATGCAGTGTGAGTGGGGCCAGAGTCCTGCTCTCAGGACTTGGAGATGCGGAGGGAAGGCTCCTGGCAGGCAGACTTTGCAGATGGGACAGATACGCCCAACCCCAGGGGAGTGGACACTTGCCAGCTCCAGGTACAATGGGCGGCACTGTGAAGGCACTGCTGTCCCCAAGGACACAGGCACATGAGGCATTGCACCCAGGACAGCATGCTTGGCATCATACCCATGTGAGGAGGCAGAGGGCATAGCAGGGGCAACACTCAAAAAGCAGGTAGTGTTTGCTGTGCCGGCTGGTCCAAGGAGCAGGTCAAGCCTTGCACCTCCAGCTGCCCGTGGGCCTGGGGGGGGGTGGGCAGTGGCTTCAGAGATGCTTTTATTTCCCTCGTCCTTGCAGATGTTCAAGGGAAAGGGAAGGGCTCACCCTGGGGCAGTGAGCAGGCAGTGCAGGACTCCTCCAGGGGCCTTAGCACTGTGACAGTGTCGCCCTCTCTGCCCAGACTTGGAGAAGCGCAAGAATCCCGTGTGCCACTTTGTGACTCCCTTGGATGGCTCTGTTGACGTGGACGAGCACCGCCGGCCAGAGGTACCTGGCGGGTGGCTGAGAGAAGGGGCGGGAGGGAGAGCACGAGGCCAGGCTCTGGGCCTGCACTGTCCTGCCAGCTGCTTGACCTGGAGAAGGCCATCGGGGAGTGAGCCAGCAAATGGAAGATCTTTCTGGGGGTCACTTTTTCTGAGACCCTGTGCCGGCTAGAAAGCGCATCTGAGGGGTGCCGGGAATTGCATCCTCCCTGCCCTGTGCCCTCATAGAGTCCCAGAGGCCCCGTGGGAACCAGCAGGGAACACCTGGCACTGGCTCCCCAGAGGAAGAGCTCGCAGCAGGTTGCCTACAGCCTGCTCGCCACGCCACCCCTTTCCTTGGCCTCTGTTGCAGGCCATCACCACGGAAGGCAAGTACTGGAAAAGCCGCATCGAGATCGTGATCCGCGAGTACCACAAGTGGAGGACATACTTCAAGAAAAGGGTATCTAGCCAAGCACCCTGAAGGGAGACCAGGAGCGTCGGGGTCAGGGCTGAGGCTGGGCCAGTCTGAGCTGGGCCTCCTGTGGGCAGGACTGGCAGGACTGGCAGGGAGCAGTACCTCCTCTGGCCTCTGTCCCCTGACCAGAGAGGCCTAGAAGCTTCAGAGAGCCAGCACATGCGCAGGGCGGTGAGCCAGGCTCTGCTGACCACGCTCTGTGCTCCCTTTGTCGCAGCTCCAGCAACACAAGGATGAGGACCTGTCCAGCCTGGCACAGGTGAGCAGGCTCCCATGGCCAGGGTCATTTGGCCCCTTCTAACAGGAAGGACAGTCCTGGCCTCACCGCCACGGGGTCTTGGGGAACAGCTGGCTGTGCGTGGTCCCCCTCTGCACCTGCCCCTTGACCCCGCCTCTCCTGGCCCCAGGATGATGATGTGCTATACTGGCACAAGCGTGGTGACGGATGGAAGACCCCAGTGCCCATGGAGGAGGAGCCGCTGCTGGACACGGACATGCTCATGTCAGAATTCAGCGACACCCTCTTCTCCACGCTCTCTTCACACCAGCCGGTGGCCTGGCCCAACCCACGGGAAATAGGTAACCCTCGCCTCACGTTTGTGACCTGGAAGCTCCTCCTGGCTTCTTCCTCGGCCCTATACCTCTGCCCAGGTGATGCTGCAGGCCATCCCTGAGCTGGCACAGGTTTCTTGTCTGGGAGGTAGACAGACTTGGGCAACATCTGGGGCCAACGTGCATGGGGTAGGATTGCAGACCAAGGCACTTAGAAGCTGGTAGCAGTGTGAGAAATGGCATGCTGCCAACTGCTCCTTGGAGGAGGCCACGTGGCAGGACCACTCAGCTCCAGTGGTAATCCAAAGTGCCAGCCTTGACTTCCTGGCAGCATTCAGGCCTCCAGGGGAGCTCCCAGGAGAGTCCCCGATGAGGAAGGGAGTGGAGAGTCAGGAGGTTGCTTCTGCTAAGCAATCGTTGACTTCCTGGCACCTCCACTATGATACCCCTTCGTCTTGTAAATCTCCCTCGAATTTTCTGCCCTCAGAAGGTGAAGAGTGACTGAACCCACACAAAAGTAGAAATTCAGGTAGCTGCTTACAGGTCAGCTTGGAAGTGTCTAGAACGTGAGCAGAGCCGAGCAGCTCTGTCCTGGCTTGCTGCATGTCCTGCAGCTTTTCCGGGGAGGCAGAGTGACCCCTTCAACTTACGGTTCTTGCAGCACATCTGGGGAACGCAGACATGATCCAGCCGGGGCTCATCCCTCTGCAGCCCAACTTGGACTTCATGGACACCTTCGAGCCCTTCCAGGGTGAGCAGGGGCAGGAGGGGCTGGGGGGTTGACGTCAGCACCTGCGTTGTGGGATGGCAGTCTGGGAGTTCAGTGTAGGACATCTCTGAATGGCAATCCTGCTTGTAGGCAGCAGGGGGTGCTGTGACACAGCGGGTGCAATGCCGGGCCTGGGGGTGTCTTGGTGCCCAGGCTAGTTGCCAGCCTCGGGCCTCTCAGTACACAGAAAGTTCTGGGAGGGATGACTGACCGTGCTTCCCTCTGGGCAGCAAAAGGCTCAGTCTGATTTCCTTGAATCTTGAATTCCCTGGCGCTCAAAAATCCCTTGGTGATTTGTTGGGTTTTTTTGTTTGTTTTTGTTTTCAGACCTGTTCTCTTCCAGTCGCTCCATTTTTGGCTCCATGCTTCTCACACCTGCCTCAGCACTTGCCCCAGACCCCAACAGCCCACCTGCTCAGGTAGATGAACCCGGGGGGCTGCCAGGAGGGACGGCTGGTATAGGGCTAGTCGTGACTGCCTGCAGTGTGAACTGTCACAAGCCAGAACTGGGCACAGTCGTGTGGGTCACGGCATCTTTGCAGCTGCCTTTGAAAGCAAATACAGGGATGCAGGAGCGAGGGACCTCCGTCATGATGTGCTGCTGCCTCGGGCTGACCTGTGCAGGCAGCTCCTCAGGCCCTGCTAAGGTGGGGTCACTGACAGGAGACGGGGGTTATCAGCAGCCCTGAGCCCCCGGTGTTTCCCTGCAGTTTGCTCAGTAGCCCGCAGAGCTGCACGAGGCAGAGTTTGAGGCTGCTGTCTCTGGTTAGACACGGTAATCCGGCACCGGCCTGCCGCGCAGACAGATCGGCACGGCCGATGCCATGGAATGTTCCCCACATAAGAAGAGGTGACCTGACCAGAAGCTGATACTGTCCCGGGGGCCCCCGCAGCTGCGATCCAGGTCTCTCAGTCCTGTAACACAAGACGTGCTGCAGAAATCAGATCTCCCAGGCTGGCCAGCTGTGTGGGCAGCAACTTTGTGTTCTCACTTACTTCCTGTTGGAGACAAGATCGCTGCGGGTTACTGGGGAGGCACAGCTCCATCTCTGGGCAGCAGCCGGGGCCTGGGGGATCTCGCCCCACAGGAAACCCACAGCTGACACAGCACTGGGCCCTTGCTTCTCTCTCTGTCTTCCTCAGGGGAACATCCTACCTTCTGTAAATCTTCCTGACAGCCTCATCACGCCCCCCGAGGCGCCTTCCCTAGACCCTGTTGATGGGCAGAGCTGTGAACGCACCTCCCGGGCCGGGGACCCCTTTATCCAGCCCACGGATTTTGGTCCCTCAGAGCCGCAGCTGAGCGTCTCACAGCCCTTCCTTCCTGTCTTCGCCATGCCTCTGCTCTCCCCCAGCCCAGCCCCGTCTCCGGTCTCGCCGGCATTGCCATTGGTTCCTCCTCCCTCCACTGCCCTGAGCCCCCCGACACCCCCCACCTTCCTGCCGCTGCAGAAGTCAGCAGGAGCCAGCAAGGGACCCTCCGTCCTCACCCACGACACCCCTACCTTCAGCCAGAGCCCTGGCCTCGTGATCACAGCCCGCCCCCCCACTCCCTCGGTGTCCCCCTGTGGCCTGGCACTATCTCCTGTCACCCGCCCACCAGCTGTTGGCCCACCTCAGCCTTGTTTAACTTTTGTGCACCCTAAACCTGTTCCCTTAACTGGGGGGAGACCCAAGCAGCCCCCCAAAATAGTGCCTGCTCCCAAGCCAGAGCCTGTGTCCCTGGTGTTGAAGAACGCATGCATCGCCCCAGGTGAGTCAAGTGAGGGTGAGCTGGGAGGGCCCCATGCGGCCTTGCCTACTGCCTGCCCCAGCCCACGTGGTGTGCTAGACAGGCAGTGACTCACGGGGCCCAGAAGGGCAGAGGGACAGGCCTAGTGTGGTCGGTTGGTTTTTTTTTTTTTTTTTTAAATGCATCTTTTCTCAAAGTTGATTTCAGCCCAGTGGTGGCTTCCTCTCATCAGGCAGCAAGGACGTGGTGGGCCTGGGGAGTGCACTGCCTGAGCTGCACTGCACGCTGCACAGTGCCAGACCTGCCCTCACCTGCTCCGTGTCCCGGCAGCTGCCTTTCCAGGCCCCTCACAGGCAGTCATCATGACATCAGGCCCCATGAAGAGAGAAGGCATGTTGGCATCCACTGTGTCCCAGTCCAGTGTAGTCATCACGCCTGCTGCCATCGCCAGGGTGAGAGACCCCAACACCTGTGGTGTCCTCACCCCAGGAGCCCCCTGCCCAGTGTGACCCACCATGCCTCAAAGGTCAGTGACTTCTTTCCGTGTCACTGCAGGCTCCCCCTGGTGTCACAGAGTTCCACAGTGGCATCCTCGTGACAGACCTCAGCCGTGGTTCGAGCAGCCAGCCCTCGCCTGTGCCCCGCCTCTTTCCCAGCGCAGTGCAGGACGCTCTGGTGAAGGGCGAGCAGGTCCCTGCTGCGGGGTCTGGTCAGTGCTCACTCAGCAGCTAACACTGTTGCAGGGGATGTGAGTGGGCCTGCCCTGGCTTAGGGGGCCACCGGGGGGCTCCCAGGGAGAGAGCCTGGGCCTGTAGGATATGAACAGTGAGGCCCAGCCTCAGAATGTGGCAGGGCAGTGCTGCAGAGCAGGGAGCAGCTGGCAGCTGGGGTGGAGGCGCCACCCTGCTGTCCCCTGAAACTTGGCTCAGAACTGCCAGTTCTTAGCCAGAAAAGGTCTGGTTACATCCTGGCCAACTTGGAGGGGTGCTACGGCCACACAGGCTCCTGGCCTCACCTGTCCTTAGTCACTCCCTCCTGCGGCTCAGAAGTCCTGTAGACCAGGGAGCTCCTCTCATGTGTTGGGCCTTCGCTGGTCGGGCCCCAGGCCGTGACTGTCAGCAGGGGTTCATGACTACCTGGGCTACCTGTGTCGCACCTGAAGCGGGCAGCAGGAAAGCAGAGTTACAACAGAGAAAGAAGGAGAGACAGAAAGAGATCTTCCATCTGCTGATTCACTCCCCAGATGGCCACAGTGGCGAGAGCACCATCCCAGTCTCCCATGCGGGTCCAAGGGTCTGGGGCCCAAGCATTTGAGCCATCCTCCGCTGCTTTCCTAGGCTATTATCAAGGAGCTGGATCAGAGGTGGAGCAGCCAAGACTCAAACTAGTGCCCAAGGCGATGCTGGCATCATAGGCAGAGGCATGGCTACTTAGCCCGCCCCTGTTCTGTTTTGAACAAAGCAGAGCACACTTCTTCCCACTGGGAAGACTTGTACCAGGAGGGTCTTTACCCAGAGGTCAGGCAGTTGGACGCTGGTATTTAAACACTCTCCATCCTGGAACAATTTTGAACGGAAAGACCGGGAGAGCCAAGTCAGATGCTGGCATGATCCAACACTTGGGTCCGCATCCCTTGCCTGTGCTGTTTCAGAACACCGCATTGCCCATCTGGGGGCTGCAGTTGATTTCAACCCAGTGGTGACTTCTGCAATCTCTGGGATTGCAGAAAAAGCAAGTGTCGTCAAGGTGTTTTTCTTCGAATCAGATAGACACGGTAGCTGGAGCAGGAGCCAGACCCCGAGCTGAGCCCCTGAGGCGTGCTGCGCAGGCAGTGTGACCCGGGCTGGGCCCCTGAAGGGTGCTGCGCGGGCAGTGTGAGGAGCCAGGCCCCGGGCTGAGTACCCAAGGGGCCTGTGCATAGCGTGGACATGCTTCTACTCCCTCCAATCCCTAACAGAAGTCTGTTCTTACAGGTTGGGATGCCCCCAACTCAGGGCAGGCATCTCCGTGTGCATCTGAGCAGAGCCCCAGTCCTCAGTCTCCTCAGAACAGCTCAGGGAAATCCTCCACAGATCCCAAGAATGTGGCTGCGTTGAAGGTACCTGGCGGGGGAGGTGGGAGCAGCACGAAGGAGGGCCACAGGTGCAGCTGGAGGGCACTGGGCACTGTGCCCTTGAATTGTTCCCACAGTGCTGCCTCCCAGCAGCCAGCCATGTGGTGACATGGGCAAGTGTGAGAGCTCAGGGCCCTGAGCCCCAGGACTGGTGCTAAGCCCTCCTGGTTTGGTGGCACTACAGCCTCATCCCAGAGATTGCAGGAGGAAGGGGTGATGGAGAGACTGAGCAGCAGAGGCAAGTGTGGGTGAGCTGGGTCATGGCAAAGCACGCAGCACCTGCAGCCTGCTGCGCCGTCTCTAGGGTCCCCAGAGTCCTCTGCCCCTCGGGGCTCCTGGGCGTGACCTTGTAGCTTACTGCCATCCTCTCTTCCATTGAAGTTCTTGTCCTGGCCCGCTAGGCACCTCAGGCTGCTCATCTCCCCTAAGCCTCCCTGTGTCGCTCTGGGGGTAGGGTGATGGCCCAGAGTAGCCTGTGCCTCAGGGACTGGGTGCCTCCCGACAGAACCGGAAGATGAAGCACATCTCGGCCGAGCAGAAGAGACGCTTCAACATCAAGATGGGCTTCAACACTCTCAACAGCTTGATCTGCAACAACTCCAAGCTGGTGGGTACCCTGGCCCTCTGTGGGGTTGGCGCCCGTGCCCTGAGCCGCTGCCTGAGCTGCCTGCTGCTCCGCAGACCAGCCACGCCCTGACGCTGCAGAAGACGGTGGAGCACATCACAAAGCTACAGCAGGAGCGCAGCCAGCTGCAGGAAGAGGCCCGGCGCTTGCGAGAGCAGATCGAGGAGCTCAACGCCACCATCATGTGAGGCTCCAGCCTGGCTCCTTCACAGCTGCCCACTGGGGCCTCGCCATGCTCGATGGACAGGCCCTCGCGGGCCAGTAGCTGCCCCAACACACCCCTGACTCCTGTTGTTTCAGCTCCTGCCAGCAGCTGCTCCCCGCCACGGGGGTCCCTGTCACCCTGCGCCAGTGTTACCACCTACAAGACATGTTTGACGAGTACATTAAGAGCCGGACGCTGCAGAACTGGAAGTTCTGGATCGTATCTTTGCCCGTTCTTTGCCCCGCCTCCCCCCAGGCAGAGCGTGAAGCAGCTAACAGTTACCTTTCTCTGGTTGTCACGGGGTTCATGAGGACAGGAGTCAGCAACGGGGCTCAAGTCGGGGTCAGGGCTGCTCGGTGAGCCCTGCCCTCTGCCCTCATGAGAGGGCACAGCCGTGGGGCAGATGGGGTCTCATTCAGCCTGGCAGGAAAATGGGGACTGCTGAGCCACAGAGCCCAGCTGGAACCAACATTCCAGACAGGTGCCCAGGGAACATGCTGTGGGTGTGCGCCAGTCTCCCCACGGGCAGGCCCCTGCCAACCCCTGGGGAACCACTGGGAAGAGCTCGCCCTTCTCACCCGCTTATCCTTGACCCACACCGTGCAGTTCAGCATCATCATCAAGCCGTTGTTTGAGTCATTCAGGGGGGTGGTGTCCACCAGCAGCCTGGAAGAGTTACACCGGACCACCCTGTCCTGGCTGGACCAGCACTGCTCGCTGCCCATCCTCAGGCCAAGTGAGTCAGGACCATGCAGGGGGCTCACTGTGGGAGGGGCGGAGGGGAATGGGTGTGGAAATCACCCAGCTAGGGACAGTTCTGAGGAAAGCACTGGGAGCCAGGGGCCCAGGATGTGCGATGTGCCATCTGCACGGCCCTGCCTGGGGTAGCCCCTCAGAGCCACCCTCTGGCCTCCTGAGTTCTCAAGTTAGCATTGCCCATCTCATCACGCCCAGCTTAGGCCTGTCAGGCTCTGTGTTGGATGCTTCTCGAAGGTGTTTTCTCGATTAATTCTTCTAGTTACAGATAAAAAACATTCCCATGTTATCAGGGATATCAAAACTCAGTATTAAAGGGAGCAACCCTGGATGGCTGGGACAGGCTGGAGTCCCATGGAGTTGGGAGAGCTCCCCTGCAGGCGGAAGTGTGAGTGCACAGGGCTCAGCGAGGGGCCTTCCACTGTGCGGGGTCTGAGAGCTGACGGGGTGGCTGGTGTGCAGGCGTGTGCACAGGGCCCCTGGCTGTGTCCCGGGCTGACCATCCCTCTGTCTTACAGTGGTGCTGAACACGCTGCGGCAGCTGAGCACCACCACGTCCATCCTCACAGACCCATCCCGGCTGCCAGAACAGGCGTCAGAGGCCGTCACCAGGCTGGGCCAGCGAGCGGGGGAGTCTTAGCTGCTGAGCAGCCTGTGAAAGCATGAGCTGCTGGGAGGCCTCTTCCTGCCTGTGCGTCCCAGCCCCTCGATGCCCCGCGATGCGCCCTGCAGCCCTGTGCCACACAGGGTGCTTGCTCAGGTGTGAGGCAGAGCTGGACCTGCCCCCAACTCTAGCCCATCCGGGAAACTCCTTGCTGTGATCTCACTCAGCGACCTCAGTCACCAAGCACCGTACCCTCCAGGCAGCCCATGCGAAGGGAAATGAGTTCCCGTCCAGTTGCCCTCCTGGTGCCTGGAGGCTCTTGTTTCGTGGGCAGCCTGTTCTAACAGAAGGAGTCTCTTGGCTGGGCACGGATTTCAGTGATGGCGCCTTCCTGTGCCAGGCTCCAGGGGCGATTCCTTCTTGAGAGACCCTCAGAACACACGGGTGCAAAAGCAGTGGGCGTGGACACCCACGGGGAGAGAAGAGAAGCACAAACCACGCAGAGGCGCCGTCTGCTCCGGAGCTTCCTGGCATGGCCACGTCCCGAGAGTCCTGCAGCAGGGCCTCGGGCCCTCACACTGTGGCCCTTCTGCCTCATTCGCCAGCAGCTTCCCTGCACAGACCTGGAGGAGCAGGCCTGCCCAGGGAAGCGTCTTGCCTTGCCACTCTCACATGACCCTGCGTTACCACCACTGGCCTGCTTGTCATTCCTGACGTTCGCCACAAAGTCCCGAACCAAGACAGTTTTCAGACCAAAGATGTCATTGCAGCCCATGTGTGTCATGGTCACTCCTTGCCTTTGGAAGGAGACCGGCAGAGCTGTGAGGCCAGACCTCAAGCTGTCTAGGCATCTTCTGGTCTGTCACACAGCGAAGTGTGTGTCTTCAGATTTGGCTGGAATTGGGGATATGTGGGCCATGCAGGAGAAGTGGCGGCAGCCCAGGCAGTCCTTGCTCTCCAGCTGTCCCTGTGGGCAGCTTGGGTGGCAGTGCCCTCCCCAGTGCGGATTATGCAGTCAAGACCCGTCCTTGGCTTCTCTGGCTCCTGTGGCCCCCAGAGCAGCCCCGTGTCCCTGTGCATCTCTGCGCACTGGCCAGCATACCCCGTCCTGGGCAGGGCTTTGAGGGAGCCCTGGACTGCCCCTGAGGTTGCTGGAGGCCTGAGGAACTGGGCTAGGGTGGGCAGTGTCTCCGTGGGGCTGGGGGAGGAGGAGCTTTCTCTCCAACCCCCGCCTCTGCCACTGCAGCTCCCTGGGCGGGCTGCTCAGGGCCTCAGCCCCCAAGCACCTGCTGCCCACATGTTTACAGCCCTTGGCCACCTGCCGGACCCGCCCCTGGCACTTCTACTGGGAAATGAGATGGAACTCGTTCTTGTACATGGTACAGGACAGGTGGAGGTCACCTTCAGATGAAGGTCACCATGGTAAGAAGAAGGGCCTAGGAGAAGGCCCAGAGCCCAGCCCCTGCCCACTCCTGTGCCTTGCTGCATTTGCGAATGGCTGTGTGGCTGCCCCAGCCAAGGACACTCCTCAGTCACTAGCTTTCTCTCCATTCCTTGCTGGGAGTCTTTTAAAAAAAAAACTCCATGGAATATAAAATTGGCCTTCTGCCTCCTTGGCCTACCTCTCCCTTTTGCTGAATTACTGTTCACTGTTGTTTGTGACTGTCTCATCATATTTAAAGCTGTTAGGTTGTGTGTGTGCACACACGCACATATGCAGACCCCTAACAAGATGCATGTTTTTGTCTTTAGATGCGATACCCACTTAAATCCACTTCTCTTGGTGCTCACATCCGCAGGGGCAGTGAGGCCCAGATGCAGCCACTTTGCTGCAGACACGATTGTCCCTTGCTCTGCGAGTTTCTTTATTTTGCATTGTTGGCCTAGTGTGGGTGATCAGGCTGGGAGATAGCGTTGACCTGTGCCAGGCTCCCAGATCAGCATTCAGGGACAGCTGAGACCCTGGGCCAGCGCAGCCTTGCTCATGTGCCACCCATGCCTAACTCTCAGCATCATTTTTGTCCCCAAATACACTGTGAAGAACAGAGAATCCATCTGGTGAGAAGAATCCAGAATGCCCACCATCGTGAGACTGCAGTGTCTCAGTGCCCTCCACAGTGGCACCCCACTGTCAGCTCTCACGGTGAATGAGAGGCATAGGACAGGCTTCTGCGGAGCTTTCTGAAAACTGAGGCTGCCCAGATGGGTTGGGGTGGCCCCACCGTGTGTACTGCCCTGATTTGCCCCTCTGCTGCCTCTGGACCTGGCCCACCCGCTTTGCTAGAAGTCGGTCCTGCACACTGCCCTGGCCCAGAGATGGCAGCGTGCATTCTTATGGGACATGGAACCCAAAACTCCACACCACGTCTCCCTTGGCAGTCCTGGCCTGCCCCACTCTGCAGGGTGGGCAGGTGGGGTGTCTCCTGGGGAGTGAAGGGCTGCAGCCCAGGGACTGGTGCAGCCTCAGCTGAGCCTGTCGGGGTGGGCTGGATCTGCCAGGGGCTGGCACCTCCCCTGTGGGTGCTGGCCTCAGGCTGCACTGCCCTGGGGCAGGAATCATCCCCTCTCATCCTGCCTGCCTGTGCTTCCCCAGCTCCTCAGTCTGCCTCTGGCCTTCTGACAGGCGGCCTGGCTCTAAGGTGAGCCTTTCTCCCTTGGTGGGGAAGTGCTTCTCCTGTGGATACCCTGCTTCCTGGAGGAGCTTCAGTGCACGTGGCCCTGCCGCTGTGTGTGCCCTGTCAGTTTTCCTGTGGGGAACAGCCAGGGAGAGGCCTTGCCTTGGCAGGTGTCTGGCATCCTGCGTGGCAGTGGAGTCAGCTTCTGGCTCAGTCCCCTCAGCACCAGGAGCAGCCGGAGTGTTTTTACCTGTCTGGAGCGCACGCGAGAGAAGGGGGCAGGGCACAGGTGCTCCTGAACATGGCCTTGCCGAGCCACCAGACACGCAGACACAGCGCAGTCGGCATGTCTGCCGCGCCAGTGAGCCTTGGAGAGAAAAGGGAACTTGTGTTTACTTTGTGGGATTTTATTGTGAAATTCTCTTCTGGTTAAGTACCGGTGTTCAACCCTGGCCATGGCTGACTTGGAGAATTCAGGTCTCTCAGTGCAAAATGAAGATCCTGGGCAGTTGGGAAGCACCAAAGTTTACATCGTTTATATCCTGTGGTCATAAAGATGGCCCTATCGATTGGCCCGGGACAGCAGGTTCCCTGCCTGTCCCACACCGCCACAGCCCGGAAATCACTCGCCCTTTCTCAGGCTTTGGTTTTCTGCATCCATGGCTAATTTTTTTTTTTTTTTTTTTTTTGCTTCCCTGTGGTGAGCTTTGGAGCCAGTCACACCTCATGGCCTGAAAGACCCATCCAGGAAGACTGGTTTGACCAGGGCCCCCAGAGCACAGCCTCTGCCATCAAGAGTGCGTGTCCCCACCACCTGTACTCAACACTACAGCGCGTTTGTAAAACTATATTTGCATCCAAGACAATAAAGAAAACACCTTATTTTTTGAAAAGCCTGTGCTGTGTAGTCTTCAACGTTGCCCAGCCGAGGGGATGGTGCGGGCCACGAGGTGACGCCTGCTCCTGGCCAGCTCTAAGGGCTGGTGGGGCTCCCTCAGCAGGGCCTCGTGGCCCCTCTCCTCAGCTGGGACTTAGACTAATCAGCTGCAGGGCTTGCGGGTTCACAGCTGCTGTGTGCGCCCTGTCAGGGATGCAGGCAGCAGTGCTGAGCGGGTGCAGCTCACTGCAGGCTCAGGGCAGAGGCAGCAAGTTGGTGGAAGCTGCCACGGAGATGTCACTTTTGGCTCAGAGAAGGTTCTCTCTTTGCTGCCCTCTTCCCATGCCCCACACCCTCCTCCACAGGCTGACCCAGCACAGAGCCACCTCTCCCTGGCCTATTGGCTGCGGCAACTGTGTAGTCCCCGATCTGGACTTAAGATGCAGCGGGCTGCATGCCTGGCCCAGGGGCACAAGTCCTTGAGACAGAAAACAGGACCCCAATCCTGGAGATCCAGGCCCCGGGCTTCCTCGGCTTCCACTGAGTGAAGCAAGGAGGATATGTTGTTCTTTGCAGTGTTCAGAGCCCAGCTCCACATGCGTGGAGTTGTAGGAGACGCTGGGGGCATAGTCGAAGAGAAGGCAGAAGTCCAAGGAGGCAGTCACAGGACAGAGGCAGAAGTGTGGCCAGTGTCCAGAGACCCCTCCGGATCAGGGAGTCGGCCCCAAGCCCCACAGTGGCCGCCATGTGATGCAACACGCACTGGTGAGGCCTCCTCACACTGGCACAGCCGACTCCCCCGATGCAGAGAGGGAGAGACTAAAGCCAAGGTTATAACACGGTCAGAGGAGGCCACAAGGCCGCTGCTCTCATCCTTTCGGTGACCTTGTCCTCCAGCTGCTGAGCCAGTCCTCGAAAATCTCTGTCCATTCCTTCCCATTCTGTGTCCCCAGCCCTGACCGTGGCTCCCACCAGCGCATCACTGAGGCCACATGACTTCTCGGGCAACTCGGGGCTGTCCCAGGGACCCCCACGGGGCCTCTCCCCAGCCCAGCCGTGTCGCCCCGCTTGCCTCTGTGCCTTGGTTTGCTGTTAGTTGTCTGAGTACGTCGTGTGCACGTTGTGTTTAGTCTTGTTTCTGAGACCTGTGTCTGTCCAACCCCTGTGCCCATGTTCACTCCTTTTTCCTTGGGTCTTTCCTTAATGTTTCTCTCTCTGCTATCCTGGCACCTGTCCATTCCTGGGCCTGCACTCACAGGCGGCCAGGCCTTGGCTGCCTCCCCAGGCTGTCGATCATGTTTGCAGTGCTCCTCCCTCCAGATTCTGAGCCTGCGGAGACAAGCCCAGAAGTAGCATGTATCAGGTGCAAGGAAACCAGATGGTCCTTAGCCCCCGGCTCCACCCAGGAAAGGTGGGCTGGGAGGCAGGGATTAGCAGGAGCAACTATCAAGGCAGAAGGGGACTTCGGAGACCCCCCACACCAGTCACCTCGCAGCTGCAGCGTGAGGAGCTTAGCTTGGAGTTACAAGAATGAGAGCCAAAGCATTCCACTTGATTCTGCACAAGTCCCCCACATTTTTGGTCATCATCCTTCATCTGCCAGGATCTTGAGGTAGGCTTGGTGTGGTCACACTTGTCCTAAATTGCAGTGAACTCACGTTCCACCCTCTTAGTAGGGAAAAACTTGAGCAGTATACCCA